TTTCCTTTCCAGTCACCTTTCTCACTCAGTATGTGTTAATAGATTATTAATCTCTGTCTCTCTTCCACAGCATGTCTTTATCCTGTTTTCCTTCTCTCACCCCAACTAGTCGCAGCAGATGGCCGCCCCTCCCTGAGCCTGGTTCTGCCGGAGGTTTCTTCCTGGGTAAAAGGGAGTTTTTCCTTCCCACTGTCGCCAAAGTGCTTGCTCATAGGGGGTCATATGATTGTTGGGTTTTTCACTGTATCTATTATTATAGGGTATACTGTACAATATAAAGCACCTTGAGGCGACTTTTGTTCTGATTTGGCGCTATATAAATAGAATTGAATTGAATAAATACAAAATCAGAATATTACTATGGGAGACTATGAACAAAAGCAGAAATACGAAGCACTAAACTATACTAGAGCAACTGTCATAAAACATGAAAGGATGAAACGAGTGCTTTAGCAGAGTCCAAAAGGAAAAGGTCTCTTTAGCAGGCTGGGGAAGCAGCTAGGGAACCCGACATCGGGTATTTTCTAGAACTGGCACTGTGAGCTGCGGAGCAGAAGGAGGAATATGGAGTTATGCTCACAGAGTCACTGTAATAAGGGAGAGCAAAGTTAAAGTGAGCCCCAAGCAACAGTCCAGGGAGAAAGGGCAATTTGCAATTATCGTACTTTTGCAGGCAGAGGTGAGGCTTAGGGGTAGTAAAATCCAGGCAAGGCTAAACCAGTCCAGATTCACTCACTGGAAAACCGAGCAGGGAGGTAGGCAGGTTAGTAAACCCCGAAAACAGCACGCAGGCCAGTGGCTGTGTGAAGGGAAGGAAAAATGACGGCATGATCCAGACATCCATGAGACTGCGGCAAGTAGAAAGACAAGATTCGTTCCAAAAACTGCTATGAGGAGAACTACTTAACTGTGGCTTTCACTAACAAGGGCTAGCTAACGTTCTGACGAGAAGTGTTTGTTAGTGGTGGGCGGATTGATCAAAATATCAATTGTATCAATAGTAAATCGGTATCGGATCGATACTAGCCTGGTGAGATCGATTATTTACTTTAAGTTCCGCTCTTGTTTGCAGTGCTTTGGTTTTAGCAAAGACGAAACAGCCAGGTCACCGGATTAGCCGCTCCTGTGTCAGTGCAGAGCAGGCACACTTTGCTCCCCCTCCCCCCTCTTGTGCTTAGATTTTGCGCCATTACGTGACGTGACTTAAATGCACAAAGCAAACAAACAAGCAAATTGCCAGCTCAGGTTCATCAGCACACGTCACGCACAGTGAAAATACAACAGAAGAATGGCAGGAAGAGGAAGAGGAGCGCAATGTGCCTGCATTTTCAAGTCAAAAATGAGACAACAGCAAAATGTGGGATTTGTAAAAAGCTTACCAGGTATAGTGGAAACACTACCATTTTATATAAACCTATAAAAAAAACCATGTGTCCCATCTGCTCTGCCCCAACTCCTGAAACTACCTCAAGCTCGTCTGGAGGGGCTGCTTCATCCCCACCTGCAGCAAAAGGTGGGATATGGGAAGAATTTCACCCTAAAGTCCTAGCATCTCAGCAGCATCGGACAACTGGTACTGATGCCCTAATTGAGATGTGCAGGTACTCTGAGGAAAGGCCAGTTCCTTGTGTATAGGATCCACTACTTTGGTGGAAAAACAATGAACAAACATTCCCATCTCTGAGCAAACTTGCCAAAAAATACCTGGCAGTGGTTGCAACATCAGTGCCAGCTGAGAGGATTTTTCCAAAAGTAGGGCAGTTAGCAAATAACAGACAAAGTGCATTAAAAGCAAAAAATGTTAATATGATACTGTTCTTGAACAAAAACCTGTAACCAAAACCTTTGTTCTGCACAGACTAACTAAAGGCTTTGGGGGTTGTTAAGTTGTTTACATATTATTTATATTTTCACCAGTTGTTGTTGTTGTTGCTGAGAATTTTAATTGTAATTTTTGTATTATACTTTCTCAACAGTACTTGTTTGTTTTAATTTGTTTTCTGGTTTGCATGCACTTTTTAAATTAAGATTTTTCTAAAAAAAAAAAAAAAAGATAATAAAGCATTTTCTATTTAATTATAAACTTTGTCCTAATTATGTCCTGTGTTTTAACTATTTAATAATAAAAAAAGGAAACATCACAAAAAACACTTAAGGTCATGAAAACTTATTGAGATTTAGCCATTCAATGACGCATCCACCTTATTTACTGAAAAGTATCCGTATCGATATCAGCAATACTGGCCCGTATATACTGACCAGTCTGTGAGATTAAACAGTCCTGTAGATGGTGGAGAGCATCATCTGGCCATGTTTTAATGACCCAGATGCTTGAAGGAGTTTGTTTCCTGCGGAGGGTGTAAGCAGGGATGAGGAGCAGATAGAGGTGATCAGATGGTCCTAGGTGGGGGAGGGGTGTCACTTTGTAAGCCTGCTTGATGTTACTATACACATGGTCCAGTGTCTTTTCCTTTAAAACTAGTTGATGCATTTATTGCTTCTGGGCTGGACTTCTGTAATTATCATCAGGATATCCTAAAAACTCCCTGAAAAGCCTTTGGTTGATCCAAAATGCTGCAGCAAGAGTATTGATTAGAAAGACAGCATATTTCCTCTCTATTGCCTTCCCTTCATTGGCTCCTTGTTAAAGAAAGAATCAAATTTAAAATCCTGCTCCTCACATACAAGGTCTTAAATAATCAGGCCCCATCTTATCTTAATGACCTTGTAGTACCATATCACTCTCTGAGTGTTGGCTTACTTGTTCTTCCTAGAGTATTTCAAAGTAGAATGGGAGGCAGAGCCTTCAGCTTTTAGGCTGCTCTTCTGTGAATCAGTTCCCAGCTATGATTTGTGAGATAGACATTCTCTCTTCCTTTTAAGATTAGGCTTAAAACTTTCCTTTTTGACAAAGCACATAGTTAGGGCTGGATCAGGTGACCCTGAATCTTCCCTTAGTTACATTGCAATAGCACGAGGCTGCCATGAGTTTTCCCTTGCTGTCTTCTTTGTAATGCAATTTCCTCATGTAGTTACTTCCTGGTGCAAAGTGGCTGTGATGATGCTGTGATAGCTTATCACTATCAGAGCTCTATGATTAAGACATGTAAGAACACCTATTTGTATTTGTTGGCACTATATCAAATACGTATGGAGATTAAGCCTATGTTTAAATTTTTACTATCTCTCAGGCTGTTAAACATCACTGTAGCTGCATATCTTTTTTTTCTCTGCCAGCTGGAAATTTATTTGAAATGTTGGGTGGAAAGTTTATTGCTTAGTTTCACCAAAGTAAGATAGAATTATAATCCATAAACCTTCATAAGACAAACATCTCCCCAGAACATTGAGCACTGCTGAAGTATAATTGAAGAGGAGAAAAAACTATTTGTCCTCGTCCATCCAGCAATACCTGAAACACCTGAGTGGAAGATCCACCTATACTGTGTTTGATGCAAAGCACAAAGGAGACACATGCTGGAGCAGCTGGAGTCCTACACACACTCAGCCTCTTCACTACAGAAACCCCTTCTACAACATCCATTCTTTACACTCTGACTGCTGTGTTTGTGGAAACATTCTAACACACACCACTTCACACATGAACATAGAAATGTGTGTGAAAAAGAGATGGACTGATATTAAACACGATGGAGGATTTATTCACATTTATTCACAACGACATTTAGATACACATTACCTCTTGGCAGCAGAAGAACATCCTTTAAATTTTTCACCAATATCCTTTGACTGATGGCTCTTTAAAGACGCACAGCTGGGTTCAGGTCCAGGAGATTCTGGCTTCTTACTGATCCTAGAAGTAAAACAATAAATGTAACAGTTTCATGAGACAGATGGAAAAACTGGAAATATTAAATTACTTACATGATGAACAAAATTACTCAAATCAGAAAAAAATTATGTAAAACAAAAAAAATTAAAATGAGAATACTTAATCCCCCAAAACATAAACAACCAGAAAAAAAGTAAACTACTTACTCTTTGTCACATAAAAGTTCTTTTTTAAAGTCAGCACCAATATCCTTTGACAGGTCACTCTTTAAGGAAACACAGCTGGGTTCAGGTCCAGGTTCTGGATTAGTTTTAGGCTTAGGTCCAGCAGACCCAGGTACACCGTGCACCTCTGGGCTTTAAAACAACATACACAGAAGTATGAGTGTGAATAATGAATAATGATGGAGCAGTGATGTGAGTGCTGAGCTGTGACAGGGAGAAGAGTCATGGACAGTTGGAGATGGTCATCTCACCTCTGAGCTGTGGTCTGGCTCTCATGTTCCCCACACAGAGTGGTTTTAGATGGAGGGACTCCCTCCTCTCTGTCCTCACACTGATCCATGCTGCTGAATTCACATCCACATCAGCTCACACACTTTCTACCTTCACCTACAGAGAAAACACAAATCATTCATGTGCACATCAACTGAAATCCTCCTTTCCATCATGTGTGTCCAAATACCAGCTGCTTCTTTTCTGCTTCATCTCAGTGTCAGTTGAATGCAGTCAGACAGCAGTGTGAGGCAGAGGAAGCTGCCATCAGCTGCTCTACTTCTACTATCAGTCCAATAGATGGAGCCATGAAGCACACATGATCACGATTGGGAAGGTAACTTTTAAAATGTATTCCACTACAGATTACAGAATACATACCCCAACCTGTATTTTGTAATGTATTCCATTACATTACTCAATGAGAGTAACGTATTCTGAATGCTTTAGATTACTTAATATATTGTCATGCTTTTTACAACTGCATGAATGTACTATTGCTGTGATTTATTACTATTACTGAACATTACTCGAGATACCAATAGCAACTAGATATTTAAATCTTAATATAAAATGAGTAACAGTAGGGTGGACATTAGGTAAGGCTGCACTTTTTGCAGCGATCTCATATAGAAAACTATTCTGCGCATATATCAAACAGGTCCGCAGCTCTGAACTGTAGTAAAGGGACCTCTGGCTAATATGTCGGTTCCGTGTTGGACTCGTAGCCAAAAACTAGCTTTACTTTGTTTTCTGGGTCAACTTTGCTAGCGAGAGACAGAGAGATTGTTTCAGAGGAAAACACGAACACAGTGTACAGTCGAGTCTTAATAACTTACTTACAACTGGGCTCGTCAGGCACTCTTTTTGGCTGCAGTGGTTATTATTATATTTACTATATATATTATTATATATATTTCTTATATTACATGCTTCCATGTCCCGTTTCTGGTCTGTGACAACTCATACTTTTGACTCTCCTTTGTGTCCCTCCCTCGCGCTCACAGACAAATAATGGTATGGGAGTCCATTCTCCCTGCAGCACAGACTACACTGCTCATGAGTCTACATTCTTTATGGCTATGCCTGTAACACTGTGCCTATTGCCTTTATATTAAATAATTTTTTGAATAATAATTTTGAAAAAAATTTTCTTCACGTCATTTATACGAGCCGCAAGCAGAGGTGACATGGGCCGCAAGACTGAGACACAGGCATTAGAGCCTCTTATTGCGTGTTTTCTTAGGGTTTTCCACAGGTGTGAAATTAACAAAAATTGAGAGGGCATAGCCTAACATATAAAACAGGAAAAGACTGCCATGTAATCCATTTATCTCAACAAATATTCTGAACAATGTTCCCTCTAAGCTGCGCACGTGTGCAGTTGCGCGCTGCTGGCACGGTCTCTGCGCACAGAAAATATGCGTTGCGCACAAAAAACAAATCTCACCTGAATTGAAATTAAAATTAATACTTAATACAGTGTTAGTCAGTAAGTGACTGGCTGCTCCCGTATGGGATTAGAACGATGCCACCTTATCCCATAGTCCAGCCAATAATGCGATTCACATTCGTATATATGCAGCTAAGCAACGTTGACAAGCTATGACAGCGTCCTTATGTGCCGACACCGGTGTTTTAGTGAGCAAAGCGGCTGATGTGGAGTGAAGCCACGTTAATGACAACGTGTACAACCATTGGAGATGTGAGCAAGACAGACGGAACAATTGACGGAAAAAGTGTGGACTTTATACCAGTTTTGATTTTGTGTTGATAGGCCACGTAAAACCAGAGTTATGATAAAAATATTTGCAGTGTTTGGTTTTCTTCCTGAATACTATTGTTGTTTATATTTACTGCGGGAAGAAATGGTAAAAACGGCGTTTTATAAGGAAAACGCTTGAAAGCGCTCTCCACCTGTGAGCAAAGACGAAACCAAAACCCTCCACCCTTTCCTATTGGTCGGAAAATGTACCATGTCGACCAATCAAAAAATGATGTGGCAACGTGGCATCTAGTTGTTAAGATGCCACGGGGGGAAGTTTTAGAAGTGACGGCGGTGTTATGAGATGTGAGAGATTTGAGACGTTTAGCACAAATCTTGTGTAGTTAGTGTGTAGTGTAGTCAATAGTTTTGTTGTGTGTGTCAGAAAAATGAGGCCACTGCTGAATGTTACAGGTTTTACAGGAGTGATACATCTCCTGTTGTCAGGCCTGCAGGTATCAGGCTGGTGTTCTCCTTTATCTCATAGTGGACAGAAATAATTTTTTGGAGTGGCACAAATAATTTGTGTGGCATCAAATTTGATGCAGAACAGCTGATTGTTCTGTAAATAGTTTGAAATGTTT